CTTACCCACTGAGCCAGCAGTGCTCCTTAATCTAATATGAATATCATTTGTTATTTTTTTCATTTTCTAGTAACCACATTAAAAAGGTTAAAAAGAAAAAATGTTTAAAAGAAACAGGTAAAACTAATACTAATAATAGATTTTTTTAAAGCAGAATCTTTAAAATGTTTCAACATGTAATCACTGTAACAGATTATTAATGAGATCGTTTACATAAATTTTCTTTTTACTAAGTCTTTGAAATCTGGTGTGTACTTTGTACTTAAGGAACCTCTCAACTTGAACTGGCCATATTTCAAATGTTCAATAATTACATTTGCGCAGTGACAGCTGTATTGGAGAATGTAAGTTCTAGAATGTTTTTTGGCAGTTTGTTTTCATTCAAGACAACAGTATATTTATCAGTTTAACATTAACTCAATAAATAATTGTATTGTCCTACAGTGGATAGAAATCTGGGTGTTATAGGATGTCCAAGATGTGTTATAGAAAAAAGCAAGCTTCAAAATAATATGTATAATAATAATAATAAATTTCAAAAATAACATTTTGACCCATGTCTATGTGTACACACATATATGTTAGTATATGAAGAGAAAAAAGAAACTATGAAGATTACTAATAATTGCTACTATCGGATTTTACCATCCATTTATGTTTTGTCTGTGACTGCTTTCATACTAAAGTGCCAGAGTTGATTAGTTTCACCAAAGGCTGTAGGGATAATAAACCTAGAATATTTACTGTTTGTTCCTTTCCAGAAATATTTTTCCAGCCCTTGCTATAGAGTAAAATATACCAATTTCTTGCTATTCAGTTGCATGTCATTGTGCACACTAGTACCTTGTATATTGTCTGCTTTTTGCTTTTCAGTGTTCTAATATTTATAATCAGCATATCTACTATGTAAATTATCACATACAAGTCATAATTTTGTAAGGAAAAAAGTTCTATAGTTAAACAGACATTTAATCTACTAGATCTGTGGTTTTAGGATACAAGTTATGCAGTTGGATGGTATTTACTACTGTCTTATGTAAGAAGTTACCTTTAGGGGGATGGGGGGGCGGGGAGAGGGGTGCAACAATGAATGAATGGAATTCCAAAATCTCTGTAGATGTTCATGGAAATGAAAAATAAAGAAATTTTTTAAAAAATTTAAAAAAAATAATAAAAAAAAAGAAGTTACCTTTAAATTAGAACTGAAGTCATTCAGAGTGCCTCTGGGGACAGACAGATTTGAAAAGTATAACCTCTCTATAAACCCAGATTGCCAAACTCACTGTCATCAAGTTGATGCCAACTTTTAACATCCCCACTAGTACAAAGTAGAACTGTCCATAGGATTTACTCTTCACGAGTAGATTGGAATTAAAAAAAAAAAAAGACATTTCGAAGAGTAGATTGTGACTTAGTTTTCCCAATAGAGATGGACAGTCTCTCCTGTTGTATTGTATTGCCTCAGAAACCCAGTAGCTAGAAGTTGGAGCCAAGTCAACAACAGTGACTTTTTTGAGAGAATCAAAGTTGTTATTTCTGTCTTACAGAATTAAAAACCAAGGCTCTTAGAGGATATTGGTGGTGGGATGGTCTAGAATCCAGCCCTCCTGTCAGAACTGGGGTAGTTGACAATTGTGTGTTTGACTGCACACTCAGACAGCATTTCAGTCATTTGACAAAACTATACCTCCATCTGAGAATATTCTTAGGTTCTGAAACTTCATTCCTAGGCCTTGATTCGCAGCAATGTTTTAGGTGTAGATAGGTTTAAATGTTAGCAGCTGAGGTAAGGTTTCTATTTTCTGTCTAATACTCATCTAAGGCAGATGTTCATTGAGAACAGTCTGACGACATAACCTCTTCTTCCTTCAGTTGTTCAAGGCCAAGTAACAAAATTCATAGGGAAAATTAGAAAATACAGAACATGTGAAATGCTGTAAGCAGGTCCCATAACCCAGAGTCACCAGGTAATTCTCAGTGCTGATTCTTACTACTGCTTCATGTCAGTAGAGGACAAGGAGTTTAATTTAACTTCTTGTGAAATTCCTGAAATACTCTCTAGAAACCAAGATTTCTCATTTAACCTCTGTCCTTACAGAATGGACTTTCCAGCATTATCACTAGCGAACAACCAGAATGTGCTCACAGAGAGAACAGCTTGTTCAATCTCAATTCTCTCTCCTCAGTTTTTTGTATTTGGTGCTATTTTCCTCAAACTTTTTTTTTATTTCAAATCTATAGAAAGGTTAAAAACCTAATGCAAAGGACCCCTGTATATCTTTAGAAAAGATTAATAAATTAAAATTTTCCCCATTTGCTTCAACTCTGTGTCTGTGTGTATTGTATATGTGCATTTTGTTTTGCTTTTGCATGTTTGTCTAATCCATTTGAACTTTGTAGACACCAGTACACTTTCCCCCAAACTATTAGATCTCTAACTCCTGAAAACGTCTAACAGTCAACACAATATCAGTATCCTCAGAAATTAATCTTCAGTACATATCAAATTTTCCTCTTTTTAGAATGCCCAGGATCAAATCAAGGTTAATGTTTCTCATTTGGCTGTAACTCCTCTTTTAATCTATAACAGCCATTGTGGTTTTTGGGTTGTTGTTTATTTGTTTTAAAAAAGACGTAATATGATTAAGTATTATTTGCATGACAAGAGTCTAAAATAAGAACTGCATAGTAAAGTAGATGGAGGGATTGTATAACAATAAAAGATTTTTTTTCTTTTCAAAGAGAAAAATGAACTGGGGGGGGAATGTACAACAATGAGTGAATGGAAATCCAAGTTCTCTATAATCTTTCATTAAAATCTCAATTTAAAAAAGTGAAGACTCCAGACCAGTTGTCCTATAGAGTATTCCACAGTTTTGTCTACTATTTTTCCTCCCCTGACTGGATGCAGATAAAACTTTTTTTGCAAGAAAAGATTTTTTTTTTTTTTTGCAAGAAAAGATTATATGTGCCCTATAATCCTGTATTAGATGATAAGGAAGGTTTGATTAGGTTGTCCCATTGATTAAGGAGCTTAGTGTCACAGTAGTTAAGTGCTCAGCTGCTAACCAGAAGATCACACCAGCCAGCAGTGCTGCAGAAGACAAATGTGGCAGTCTGCCTCTGTAAGGATTTCAGCCTTGGAAATCCTAAGGGATACTTTTGTTTTGTCCTAGAGGGTCATTATGCATTAGAGTCAACTCATTGGTAGTGGCTTTGGTCCCATAAATCAATGATACTAAATTTATTCACTAGCAGAAATCTGAGTCTCCTGTGAACAGGTACAAATTTAATGTTGCAAGCATTTTCATGAACTGTACAGAATTGTTTTAACTTTTTAAAAAATACATAAATATATTGCTACTTGTAAGAGTAATAAATATATCCAGTGTAGAATAAATAACGGTAGATAAGGACTACCAATAAGTGGTATTCACATGTCTATCCCTTTCTCCTTAAGTACATAAAGGCTTCTTATACTAGACTTTTCCTCCTAGCCTCCTCCTTATGACTCCAAAGGACATATTTGCAAATTACTGATGAGGATCCCAGATCTTGAGGCAGATAGGAATAACAAGCATTTATAGAAGGAGAATACTAGTAAAAGTAATGTTTATTGAGCCATTTCCATGTACCAGGCACAGAGCTAAACACTCTGTGGATTAGCTTTTCAGTAACCCAGTTAGGTAAGCACCACTATTTCCCCATTTTACAGATTAGGGAGCTCAGGCACAGAAGGATTGGGGATCATACCCAAGGAGCCACAACAAGTAAGGGGTGAAGCTGGGGTGCACAGCCAGGGCTGACTCACTCTGGAGCCCTGCTAGTATTTACCATAGGATGCTGCCTCCATTGTTGTACACCAGGTGTTGTCCCAGGTACTGCCTCTTCCATCTTCTTGTATAATTCTCACAACAACCTGTGAAAAACATTCTCAGATAAATGAAGTTACTTACCCAGGAACATATGCTATCTGAACCGCTTATCCTATTTTGTGGTTCTCTCCCATGTTTCAGCCAAGATCTTTAGCAGCAGAGTGGTTTGTCCAGCGGGGTCCCTTTTCCCACTCCCCAGCACCCACATAAACAGGAATCATGTGCTGGATATGAAACCAGATGGCAGAAGCAGCTGCACAAGCAAGAGAAGCCTGATCGGGTCCACATTAACCAGATGACAGGAAGGAGAGAGAGCCTCCAGTGAGAGTTCGGGGACCTTCAGTGAGAAGTGGGATGACATGAACCTGAAATAAAGGTTGTTAAAAATAAGACCATTCTTTCTCAGGAAAGTGTTTCCTTCCCATCCGCCCTCTCACCAAAGAGGATCTGGCACTCTTTGTTATTTAAGTGCCTTCAAACCAGTGGTGAAAACCATGAAGAAATGCCTGAAGGAGAGTGTGATTATTTCTAATTTCTGGTGCCCACTATGAATTTCCTTTTTAGAACTTTGTATTTTTAAATGTCATAGCTAAGGCTGTATAATTTTAGCAGGATAGACTGAGAGAAGTGGAAGTTACCCATTAAGTTCCAAGGAGCAGAATGCCCTATAGAAGACAGTTGTGCAGGAATTTTTATTTTGTGCATTTTTTTGCATTATGAAAAGACCTACATGTTTGAGATAAACTTCCCTTGAAGAGTCCAAGAGATCCTAACTCCATACCATGGTTAAATCACTTCTGAGGTTTCCTGTCTGCCATAACAGTAATAGGGCCTCTTCTACCAAGTTTTTGTCAAGTAGCCAGATAACACATAGGCACTCATTGTAGAAGATACTATCATTGTTATAAGAGCTCATCTTTGAAGTTACTTTTCTCACATGCTCTTGGTTTGATGGCCTTCCCAAAATTAGAACAGCTGGCCTCTACAGTAAGGAAAACAAACATTGCAGACACTGCCTGGCTAGGTCTTAAGCCAAATACCTGGTCTCCCTTAGTTACCCTCCCTTACACTGTCAAGAAGCTCCTATTACCATGGCGCCTGTTACACGCTGTCTTTTTGTTTCAGGTGGTTAGCTCAACCAACGGAGAGCTGAATGTCGATGACCCCACGGGAGCCCACTCCAATGCACCCATCACAGCTCACACCGAGGTGGAGGTAGTGGAGGAAGCTAAGTACGTTAACCTTTCAAGGGGGTTCTTGAGTCAAGGGTTGAAGAAATTTTTTCTGTCTCTTCCTCTCTGTGTGCTGCCCATCGCCAACGGAATTCCTCATGCTTGTATTCACAGCTTTTTTTTTTTTTAACCATCTTATTTTTTGCATGGTACTTTTAAGACTGCTGCTGCCCTTCTTTAGCTGTGAATTCTGGGAAAATAGTCATATTTTCCTAGTCCACATGACAGGGCACAAAAGATGTGTTGAATGCAAGGAATCTTGATATAAGAGAAACAGCTGGTAATAACCATGAGCCACAGTGCCCTGGAGCTTCTTCTTCCCTGTGGGATATGGAGAAAAATCTGCTTATCTGATCCATGGGCCATGCTTCACAGCATTAGATTGCTGAGTTTTAGCTGCTATCTCTGGATGTACAATCCTGGAGAAAGGATTTTAGAGCCATTTTATTCTTGAATTAGTCTGGATTCATAGGAGCTCAGATACAACAACAACAAAAAGCACAAGCCACTTTATTGCTGTTGAGTTGGAAACAACCTTCCTTTGGGCTTCCGAGCCTACAAATAACATGCAAGAATATCACCCATCTTTCTCCTGTGGAGCTGCTGGTGGATTCGAACCACCAGAGGCACAGCTTTTGGGTTAGCATCACAACTCCATGTGCATTGGGCTGCCAGAGCTCCTCTACATCCAGCTAAAAAAAAAAAGACATTTTGCACCTGTGAGTGAAAAGAGTCTTTGGGAAGGAAAAGAAGTCACATTGACCTCCAGAGTATGAAGAAGTTGTGCTCCTCGTCCTTTTCTGCTTCTCTTGCATGTCTATGTCCTACCCTGCCCATACCACCAGCTTCCCACCTTTGGTGCTCTCTGCATGGTCTGTGTTTAAACTCTCAGAATCTGGGGTAGAAACTAAACAAGCTGTCAGTTCTGCTAAATCAGCCTTTCTATCACTGACTTCCCTTTCCTCCCATTCTAAATTCAGAGCAAGATTTAAATTCCATCAGGTAGGAAGGTAGCAATAATTGCTGCCAACCCAGAACTGACTGACCTTTCTTCTGAACCCTTTGAGGATATTTAGGATAGTCCTGTGTCATCTTCTCTGACACAGGCTACATACTTCCTGTGTCCCTGTGTGTTTTTTGATCCCTCAGATAGCCTAACTATAAGTGGGTATGGTGAAAAGCCAGCCAAGACGTGTATTCTTTATCCTTCTAGTTGAACCGCCCTCCCATGGTTGCCACATCTGCCCACTCCTCTGATCTCCTGCTCATCTGCTCACTTGCCTCTAAGAGGACCGTTGTTTGAAAAGCCTGGGCTTCTGTGTTTTTATCTAGTAGATAAGCAGCAGCCAAGGATGGCTTGAATGCTTCTTGAGTACCTTGATTGTAGGCAGTTAACAAATGCTGTACTCCTGGTTTATATAAGGTGTTGATGACATAAGAAGAGAGACCAGAGGGCATTTTTATACCAAGAGAAAATAATTTTTAGTAAGGAAACATTCCCTATTCTGAAGGACTGTGGAATTTTTAATGATGCCGAAATTTATTTCAAATTATGACAAAAAAAGTATAACCATATCCCAACCTTGGCTACAATTTCAAGTCACTTGAGACATTTTAGAAAATACAAAAGCTTGATGACGATGATAAATCTAAATCCTAACATCAGAGATTTAAATTTACTTTATCTAGAATGTGACCTGAGGATTGGCTTTTTTAAAAGTTCATGTGATTTTAATGTGTAGCCAAAGTTGAAAACTATTGCACAAAATTTAACATCATTCAAAAATTGTTTAAGCTTTCCTACCCCTGCCTCATTCCCAATTTGCCTTTGTTGCTAATGCTTTGAAGGCTAGAAGTTCAGCTCTGGAATTAATAGGATGCTTTGCATACAATAATTGAGTGGGCCTTAGTTTTACAATCCTGTAAACAGATTATCTTTTGAACCCATTCATCTCATTTCATTTTGGTAAATGTACACTCTAGTTATGTATGTAACTGTGGTGTTTGTGTTCTGTGTGTCAGATAGAGGCCACTTGCACAGGTGGTTTTCAGTCTGGTCTATTCTGTTCTGGTATAATCTAAACTCTAGAATGTAAAGAGAGTTGAAAACTCTAGAATGTAAAGAGAGTTGAAAGTCTTCCCATTTTGCAAGAAAGGCCACTGTGTAGTTATGCCAGCTGGCCTCAGATAATGGGCCTTCTAAAAGGGGTGAAAACTCTAGGGGAGCAATTGCATTTGACCAAATGTTCCCCAAAAGCTCATGGCTTGGGGTATTTTTGTGCTGGTTTTCTTTAATGCCTTCTTAAGCCACCAATTCATCTCATCCAGGGAGCAACCAAGTGTTATTCTTTTTGGCAGTCTGTGAATTTGGGGGCAGAGAGAGTAGCCATGTGCCCACTTACTTGGTCATCTTTTGGGAAGAAGTCACAGCCAGAGAAGCACAAGGCCTCCCGGACAGCTTTCAATGCACACAGCTGTGATGCCATTTGCCCATGCAGCCTGCTCCTGGTGGAAAGGGAATTGTTGCCTATATTGAGCCTCCACTCTGGGACTTGAGAGACTTCATTTCAAGCTTTTGGGTTAGGTTTTCTCACCAAGTTTGTTTGCTGTAAAGCAGGAAAGATACAACAGTCTCAAGTATTTTTATGTTTCGAATGAACATCTGACTTCCCTTTCTCACTAGCTAGCTGCAGGACATGTGTCTATGTTTAAGAATGATTAGAAGGCTGATAAGGGGTAAGAGCTTTTTGGTTGGTTTTTCTTACAGTAATAGCACAAGGAATTTTTGGTTACCCGTGGACTTTAGCCATAACTCAGCAAAGAGGGGCCTCATTTCTCCAGAGAATTAACAAACTGAGGTTTAATCCCTTCACTGGCAAATGTGACTTAATTCATATTAGCATTATACCCTTTCTGTCTTCTCATCTCCTATAAGACAGTGAATGTCCTTAAGCCTTTTCCTCTTCATTAGAGGAAGAGCAGACTGCAGGTTGCTTTGGTCAGGCATGTTGTGTTTGTTAAAAAGCCAAGGACTCTGTGTCCCTCAGAACAGTTGGGAGGCTGACATACCATTGCACATCAGTTAGGCTCGTCAGTGAGAACCAGAATGGCTCAGCGTCAGTGCCCGTCTAGGTTCTTATAGCCACAGTAATTTGCTCTTTTCCCTGCTGACTTCTAGGGAAGCTCATTCTGGGGTCCCTGCCAACTCTCCCACTTTCCCCTTACTTACCAATATCCAGCTCCCATTTCGAGGATTGTTTCAGACTCCTGTCCCTCCAGTTGAGTGTAGGCACCAAGTAGCCCCTTGTTTAGAGTAAGCCCAGAGGAGGCCTGCTCACCTGCCCTTGACAAAGGAAGAAAATAAACACAGACACATCCTGCATGTTTGCATGGCTCACAGGGAGTCGCTTCCATCTCACATCTGTGGACTAATATCTTTCTCTTTCTCTCTTCCTCTCTGTGTTTTTCTCTTTACACACTCTGTAGCTGCCTGAAAATGCTCAACTTGTGGTGAGTCCCTCTCTCCAGTCCACATGCAAGGGGAGCGGACCAGACTAAGCTGGGATTGGCAGAGCCAAACAAAATGCCTTCAGAACAATGAATGGCTACTATATGCAACCTTGTGCCATAACTACCCAGACTGGGGACTTAGAGCCATAAGCTGTGGATGGGGCCGGCCTGTACCAGGAATTAATCTATTCCTTTTGTCTTTTCATATCCACCTCATCTCTGCCTTCTCCTGCCAAAAAAAAAGAAAAAAAAAAAACCCAGTATCTCACTCCAGCATTATTTCTGTCTTTTTAATGGGGTGAATTTCCTCCCAAATTAATATGAGCAGATATTATTGGAAAGGGACAGAAGTAAGAGGACAGGGTTACTCTGTCATTTGTTTAGATTATTAGTTACAACTCCAAAGGATAGTGTTGTTGCCGCATAATCTCAAATTCTGCAGCTCGTTTTTAATCTGGAAATTGGCCACTTTGGGAGAAAACTGACTTTTTATGATTCAGTTGATTCTTCCATCTGTACAGTATGAATTCTCCCCCTGAAAAAGAGCTCCTTCTTGGGGGAGAGATGGACATTTGTTGTTGCTGTTGTTATGGGACTTTTTAGGGGGTTTGTTCTTGTTGTTTGTCTTTCTTTTTTTCCTCTTATTCTTTTCCCTCCCCTCCCCAACCCCTTAAATGAGTGAGTAGAGTGGTTCATCGGTTGACTCAGCTACTGCAGCATTGGATCCAGTCTTTTCATTCTTGGAAAAGGCTCCTCAAAGGCATTCTTGAGAACAAAAGGGGACATGCAGAATGGGAAGCCTGATTGAATCGTGTGTGGTGAGGAACGTTCCTGCTAAGACAGGGAACCCTCCTCTGCATTTTTCTTGAACTGGGTCTGTGACCTTCCAGCCGCTCAGGAACAGCTTGCTGGTCTGTTGAGTCTGGAATTTAACTTTGTTTTATCCGCACACATTGGGTCATGGTCTACATGGTAGTAATAGCCTGATGGGATCTATGACTACTTTGTTTCTGCTCATTCGTGACTGGGTTGGGTACCAAGTTCTCAATCCTGATTCTAAGCCACATTGCTTAGACGGGCTTCCCCAGGGACAGGAATTTTTTTTAAGACAGCAAATTAATTTTATGGAGGTAGAATTTTTAATTGGATCATGTTGAAGAATACTTTTGGCCTGTTCATTTAGCAAACATCTGTCTGTGTATTCTGATGTTGTCATAGTCTATTTTTCTTGTGAGGTATCAGTTGCATGATCTTGAATTAAACTGCAAGTATTTAAAGGCTTAACACTGTGGTCATCCAGCCTTGTTCTGAAGAGCCAAGACCCTACCCCAAAGAGCTCAGGTACCAAATAGCTGGACAAGATAAAATAGACACACAGGAAAGGATAAGGGCACTTAAATTTTTGTCTCTCAGGAGACTGAGTGGGCAAGAAATCATGGACAGGTCTAGTCAAGGACTTCCTTGGGACTGTGGAATTTGAACCAGGTTAGATATATCAAAAGAAAGAATATTCAAGCATGGCACAGAAGGGGAACATAGGGAGGGAATAGTTGACGGGGTTGGACTCAGTACACAATAAGAAACTAGTGTGGAAAGGTAATGGCTCAGAGACCTGGGAGAAACACATTGGCTGCCTTAGAGTAGGGAGACTAGACCAACTGTGACTCAGCTCATATTAACAATCAGATCATCTTAAAAAAAAATACTGAAGTGGAAGAGTACTAAAGACACAAGGTGGATTCATCACCTGTCCTCATTCTCTTCTGAGAGCAAGCCTCTGAGCCAGTTATTTGGCTGGTCTTAAGGTCTGAGCCAGTTGCTGATAGTCACCACAAAACAGAGAGCTGAAGAGCACAGTGTGAGGCCTGCTTCCTTGTGAGTAGAACTGTAAAAACTTTTCTACTGCTGAAGTTTTAACTTTTAATAACTAGGGAAAAAATTAATCTGAGGGCTCTGAATTTAAAATATTCCAGATCTCTAATCACAGCTCATTCTCTCCTGTAGGAGGTAAATTCTGCATTGTGCATCTGCTTAGGATGTGTTTTTTAAGTAGGTGCTTATTCTTACGGCTTACCTTAAAGGATGTGAAGGAGAACCTGTTGCATAATTTTGAAGTGGATCTAAACAGTATTTCACCTTACTTAATGTCTTATAACACAAAATCATCATGTTAGTTTCTTTCAAAAAAGAAAACAAATGGAATAAGTTCAACTACTGCTTAAGAGAAAAGAAAACTATAGAAATTGACTTAAATGTTAGTGTTTGAAAATCATGGTTAACAAGGACCAGGTAAGTCTGTTAAAATGTTTGTGCCCTGTGAAATTTAACTTGCCCATCTTGATAATAATTTCAGGACACTCAACTTAGAAATGTCCATTTTTAAAGCATATCTCCCAAAGTATCCTATGTTGAATCCTTCCCCAAGGATTCTATTGAGAACTGTGTAAAGCTTTTAAAAGTGTTGGCCATTATATAAAATAATTTTTTCCGTCACAAAGTTCACATGAAACTTTATTTAGTGTGTATATTCATTGATATTCTTAGAGAAAATCTTTAATAAAATATTCTTTTAACATAACCATTTCTGAAATTATCATGTTTAACATTCAAATAAGGCTAAAGCCCATCATTAAACTTCTATTGTAAACTTCTACTTCTGTATTTTAAAAACAGACTTTGAGTTTTTAATAACTAGTCCACTGGGTATAGGAATACCAAGATATATAACTAAAAGGACAGTCTTACCTCCAGTGAGGATTTAGGAGTCTGGAAAGTTAAGCAGTAGCTCTTTGTTGCCTTATGAATATTCCTGGCTTTAAACCTGGTGGGTGCGATGCATGTAGGAGACTGAAAGGTAGTTTCCTAAGAAAATATTTTCTTTCAAGGATCCAGGAAGTCTGAGTTACACCTTCAACTTTATATCCCTCCATCATTGGCATCTTGACCCATCTACCACCTTCTACCCCTCCCATTCTCATTTCCTATGTATTAACTTTCTGGAAAGGATACATCTTTTGAACTCATACCCTAACCCTCATTACCTTCACTTTAATTTATCACTGCCTAAGCAAGAATGTATTTCCTGTTCCAAAGACAGGAGTGAGAAGGTGATAGAACTGAAGCCAAGGGATGCACCTGAGGCTGTTCCCCAGGAGGCAGCACTGGAGGGCTTATGCAGGGAGTAAGGCTGACCTCCTCCCTAGTAGGGTCATTTCTTAACTGAGTCTGGCAGGACCACAGCTCAGTGGGTGGGTATCCTGCCACCAGAGAGCTTCCCATGATCCACTCCTGGACTGTGGGGTGATCCCCTCCCAATGCAGAACAGGCAGTGCCACCTCAGGAGAGTTAGGCTCACGGTTCTCCTCAAGTTAGAGTGTGTCTTGTCTGCCTCAGGTACTGGGTGGGGTGGGGAAGGAATCCTTACTCCTGCACTGGGACAATCCTGAGGTCCTCCCAGAGGTCCAGGCATCATGCTTTCCGTGAAATTTGTTTGCCTTTGCTTAACCTCCCTACCCACTGGCCATGGAATTGCATGAAATACGTTTGCCTACTGGGGTAAACGGTACAGACTTTCTCTGCAACCCGAAGGCCCACAACCTAAGTTCTGAACAAAGATAAGGCATCTCCCTGGGTTGGGTGTCAGTGTAGGAAAGAAATCGTCCTTATCCTCCTTCCAGAATGCCTCTTGAGGCCTTGCCTCCCTTTCATGGGTTTGGTAGTTAGGTTGGGGGGGTTTCAGATGGAGCTCAAGCCGCTATTTCACTTGGTTTTCCTTCTAAGTACTGCCCGCTGCCTCCAGTGTACTCTCTTTAGCTAGCAAGTGGCCCTATGGGTGGGAGCCACAGGGGAAATCCCACCTTTTGCTGTTACTAGAACCAGGCAGAGGTTTGCTGGAAGCTGCAGGACTCGCAACATTGACTTGTGACATTCCTTGTGCTCCAGGTGCTGCTGTTTCTTTAAGAGGAAAAGGAAGAAGACTGCTCAGCGCCACAAGTGACCAGTGCCTCCCTGGAGTCCTCAGGCCTTGGGGACTCTTGACTTGATTGCACCTGCAGCTCCTGCCATTTCTCATTGGAAGGGACTCCTCTGTTGGGGAAGGTGGAGATCCAAACCAAAAAGAAGAAAGCAGATACCCCAGAAGGAGCCAACGTGGGCACCCAGGAGCCACTGGATTGGTGGCTGTCCTCTGCCTGCCTGAGGCTCTGAGCAGGTCCCAGAGCAGCTGCTCCTCCACTGCTTGCTCGTGGGGCTACCTGGTTGACTCTCCTTCCCATTGTTTACAGTGAAGGTGTCATTCACAAAACTCAAGGACTACTAGTCTCTTCCCCTTTTCCCTCCCCTCCCCCTCCTTTATTTGCTCCTGGTCCTTACTGCCCTCAACTCTCTCAGCATAAAAAAAAAAAAAGCTAGTGAACAGAAAGAAGCTTTATCTGCTGAAGGAGCTCTGGAGGCTGGGGGTGTGACCAAGAAGGTAGGAGGAAGATGACTTACGGGGCTGGAGAAGCCTTCTCCACTTCCCAGGGATGTATGGCAGCATAGCTTCCTCTTCCTCTGTGCCTGTGTAGCCTTCATCCCCAGCTGGTCATGGGGTACAGGTTCCTTCCGCCTGTGAAGTTACACTGTAGGACACAAGCTGTGAGAACTCTGCAGTCTACTGTCCCTCTGCATTGGTGTTCTTAGCTTTCTTGACGAGCAAACTCTTATCAGACTGTACTAGGACGATGCAAATTGGTCTGAGCAAAGGAAAAAAAAACCACAACATACTGACTTTATTGCACTTTTAGGTTTTTTGTTTGTTTGTTTTTTAAAAAACAAAACATGACAGATGCATATTGTGTCTAGTTATATTGAGGTTTTACTTTTTCTGTCTTGAAGGGTATGGGGCCACCTAAGCCATTCAGAGAGAATATGGGTCCAGAGGACATTCTCCTGGAAAGATTTTGTTCGGCAGCACCCAGAAGAAACAAAGCCAAACCTAATGCCATCCTGAGCCATTGCACTCAGGCTGGCAAGGAAACATATACTTGAATTTTTCGTTCATCTTCTCAGCTGCCGAAGAATGCCCCTACCAGAACATATTGACCTAATCAGGCTGCAGTTCAAAAACGTAGCTCTCAAGCACTTGGGATGAGCCAAGCCAAGCCAGACTGACTGGGAGACAGCTCATCCCACAGGATCAGATGCTTGACGACAACAAAACCCAGAAATACCTGTTTCCTCCACTGCCAGGGACTTCCAACTAGATAGCCATGTGATTTCCTGGTGACTGGGAGGACAAAATGGTGAAATAGCCATCACCATATTGCCACTAGTGAGCAAAGAAAAAGAGGAATGTGAACCTGCTTTCCACCTGCCAGAGGAACCTCAGGGTGTGGCATCATAGGGCCAGGAAAAGGAAGTTGTGTTCATCTTCCCCAGTAGCTCGATTCCAGCGCTTGGGCCTTCTGCCTTATCGGAAACCAGGCCCATGAAGATCTTTGCCTGTGGGTCCATAGCAATGAGCTTAGGACTACGAGTACATGGGGATACAGTGAACAGGAACGTATGACTGGTTTGTATGGAAAATTCCAGGGAAAAGATGACTAAGATGAAGGGTCTGGAATTGTCTTCTCACTTGAACAGAACAGCCATGCATCTAGAACATGTTCTCCTATTCAGCCTCTGCCTCTTGCCATGATGTGTTCACATGACTTACTACCTGGAAGGGTCTTGATTCCTCATTCACTGCTAAAAAAATCAATTATGTATGAAAGTTACTCTTTTCATGTTTGGTTTTTATTTGAGTTCAGTGGCTTATTCAAACAGTGACTTCTTGTTCCACATGTGACAAGACAAAGGATTATCTGCATTAAAAAGAGAGGCCCTGAATCTTGAAAAAGAAAGGATAAACCAACACTCCTCTTCTGCCCTTCGTTTCCACCTTTCATTGGAGCTTCCACTACCCAGGGGTTTAAATGGCTGGTAACACAGTTTTGTGGGTTTGGGAACACAGAACTTTAGGCTTGATATGTAGGATGCACTTGTGTCAAGTTACTATGTGGAGATTGAAATTTCCTAATTTCTGTACCTTACTGGAACAGAACAGAAGCCTGGAGCAGAGTTTCTGGGCCTTCACCTGTTCCATTGGAGCTTGGCTTGAAAATACCACCTCACTGGCTTCAAATCTGCTTAGCTCATGTGATGATTGTAATCTTTCTTTTCTTTTAAAGACATTTTCTTGTATACAAAATCTAGAGTAGCAGAGAAACTCCATGTTGTACCCCTTCCCCACAAAGACTTGAATACTGGGCTTTGCTTCATTGCCATCCTTAAAAGCCTCATCACTGAAACTGACAGTTTCTCAGTTGTCATTTGGGCAGCTGTCCTCAAGAGAAGGCAAAGGAAATAGTGGCAAAGCCTGGAGCATCGTGGCACTCCATTCTTACCAACTAAGTGCCTCTCCCCACCCCACCTCCCAGAAAACAAGCAGAAACCAGAGTGGCTCTGGGCCCAGCCCCCACGCAGCTGTGCTTGTGAGAGTTTTGTTGGTGTTTTGTCTTAAAATGCTAACTCTTGAGAAATTGAACCTGAGCAGTAGAGGAGGGCCCTCCATACAGGATTCTCACCTTCCCCCCTTCCCCATCCCATACAAATCTCATGAATAATACATTCTTTTCATAACAGGTGAAGAAACCCAAATCTCTTCAGCATCCAGGGAATAATGATAGCCCTAGACCCCTGGGAGGTTCTTTGATTATTTTCCTTCGACAGGCAGACACACACACACCCAGAGCAACCACTGAGTATCCAGAAGGGATTTGGCCATCAGCTCCACTCTCAGTGGCTCATCATCCTTCCACTGGGCCATTCTTGTGTGACTGAGCTCTATGACTCAGCCAGATTTGGGAACCCAAAGCCCCTCTCAAAATCCACTTACCCTGCGGTGTTTGACCTTTACCCATTTCACAGCCATGATGCCAAAGGCTCTTTGCGACTCAAGACAGTTTTTCTCCTTAGAGCTAAATCATAATCTGTTCACCAATAAGCTGTGTCATTAGTAGTTCCCCCAAGTTGTGCAGTTCCCTCGGGCATTAATTTCATCCTGAGCAGATTGAAGCAAACAGATTTGGATTCCACCCAAGGCATGAAGGATTAGGATTCCTCCCCTCGTGACAAGGAGTCTGCAGTATGACAAGTGTCTGCAGTCTAATCAAGTAAGGGTTCATTAGTTGCTATACACCTTGGCACTTCCCAGAGATCACATGGCAGAATGCTCCCTAAGAATGGATGTCTGCCTCCCCAGCAGCCAGTGTGCATGCATGACTGCCTTAATTAACATTCTCTTCCTATTTGGAATCTGAGAGTAATAAACAGTGGTTAGGAAGGCTTACCTTAGGTTACTGACCCTCTCCTTAAAGACCCATCTTACTCTGGCAAAGACTGTTGGAACCAGAGATGCTGAGATTTCTAGGAGTGGTGATCATCTCCTTATTTTCATTGAACTCGTAGAAGCAGCTCCTGTCCATTAGCTGGATGCGGGGTCCATTGGTGTCTGTTGGGTCTAAAGCAACTTCCAAGTTCCAGTTTAGTGCACATGTACACAGCTAGTGTGTACTCACTGTTGTTTCTCAGTGTTAGTAACTGTTTTAATGCCAGAAATAAGCAATGTTGGTAGTGCTATATCAAGTGGTTACTAAGATCATAGCCTTACTTATTTTTAGGCAAAAGATAAAATCCCTCTCAGTGAGCAAGCATGGCCTATATGTCTCAAAGCCAAGTATTTCCAGGGCAGCCTAGAAAGCATTTCCTCAAAGGAACTTGATCTGATGCATCTCTCCCAAGGCCAGTACCTTCTGTGACCCGGACACCCCCTCCATTTTCATATTCAGGCAGGTTTTCTATTACAAAAGAATTGCGCTGACAGCATTATTCCACTATTAGACCTGGGTTAGGACCGGGAGCTTCTTGGAGTTTGCAGTGCCATGCAGCCAGCCTTGCCTTTGCCAACCTACTGCCCTATCTGTGCTGTTGACACAAGATTGCCAAGATGACTGGATGGCCCAGGGGCCTAACCTTGTGGGTGACAGACAGCTGCTTGTCTCTCGGACACTTGTGGACTTTGAGCGCTCCAGGAAGGTCCCATCCAGAGGCTGATGAACAGGGACTCCCATGCTTTCCCTTGGTAGCTGGGCTGCAATCAAATGGGATCACGTTGGTTTTATGAGAATAGAGGGCAAGGGAAGAGAGTGTTGGTTTTGTTTCTAAAAAAGAAAACATGGTCTTTATTGAGAGTGTATCGTTTTGAGCAGTGTTTTAGCCACAAATAAGAAATCTTGGAAACCTATTAAACCAAGTCCAAATTTTTCATTTTTCCTCACTGCCATTGCTGGCAATTGAGTGCAAAAAAATGGGTTTCTCTATTGTATTCATAATAGTAAGTAGTTGTCTTGGACATAGTAGTAGACAACATGTTTCCTTAAAAAACAACCCAGAAGCCACTCCAGTATGTGTAGATCAGCTTACAAAGGAAAAATTCACAAAGGTGAACCTACTTGTTTCTAGATTAATTACCACACTTGGTGTTGAAAAGAAACCTCAGTTCTGTAGGCAGAATTTCTTTTGTTATTTCTCCTTTTACTCCTCACAGTCACCTTTCTGATGCCATCACCACCACCTCAGGTCTCAGAGCAGAGGGTTCGTTATCTGTGATCACAAAAGGAGGTACAGTACAGTCATCCCAGTAACATGAGGGGACAGCTGTCCCAACTGACTGCCTTCAACATTGGCATTTTCAGTGTTCCTCCTCTACATCAGCTCCAGACCAAATCCCAGGCCAGCCATTGCACCGAAAGCCTTTTCTTTCTCTCCCCCCCCCCCTTTTTTCTTTTTTGTTTTAAAAAGGCTTATCAGTCTGTTTGGAATGTCTCAGGAAAGATGAGCCATTTCTTTTGGGGGAAGTAGATTTACAGATGGCTGTGTGTGTGGGTGTTTGTACACGCCCTGGGTGCATTTCACTTCCATTAAGACATGCAGCCCAGGCTGTGAGGAAACATGTGTTCTGGGTATTCTTGGAAGGAAACGAGTTTCTCAGAGCACTATAGGTAGCAGCAAGCTGGCTCTGGGAACAAGCCCCATTTATGCAAGTTGAGAGAAGTGTTAACAACAGAAAAGGTAGATAAAACCAAAAATACTATTTCCCCCAATGGAAAATAATATTGATTCAGCAATTCCCATTGGATAGATTACATGCTCTAATTTATTATTGTCTGTTTCTTTCATCTTTGCCCATTGTACTTTCTTTAAAGAGACATTGGGATGTTGATTGCAATTTTTAAAAATTAGATAATGTATTAATCAGCTGTGGAAATCAGTTTTAATGTGTGGATGTGTCTGATTATTGTTAAATGCCTTTTGGTTGTTTTGGTTTGGGTTTTTTTTAACCTTTTGTTTTAGATATACAATGTTTCCACAGACCCTGGCACTGGTGGCAAAAGTTCAGCTGTGAAAAATGAAACTTGTAGTATTTTTGAACATGAATGTCAATTTCAAGTGTATTTGATATGCTTCCTCCAGGAGAGTGGTTTGTGTATCATTAGGAAAAACTCCTCTGCAGAGGAAAGTAGCCTTCTTTGGAGCAAATGGAAAATGGGTCCTGATACATTAACTCAGAATAGCCCATTTCCGAGGGCACCATGAAA